TCGGACTCCCCGCCGGGGGCCGCCCGCTCGGCTCTCCCCAGCGCGCCCCCACCTCACCTTCTCCATCTTCCCAGGCTCTGGATACCCCGCCTGAGGGCATCAAGGACGGGGTTGGGTTACCTTGCAGACAGAGGGCTTTTCCTGAGCACCTACTTAATGCTGGGTCCTTCGCATGTGTCGTAATCTCGTCACAGCCCAAGAAAGAGGTACAAATGTCATCTCCATTATACAGATGAGAAACCAGTTGCAAGAGGTGAAATAGTTTGCCCGAGACCACACAGTCAGGAAGAAGTCAACGTGGAATCCAGATAAAGACCCGGTGCTACTCTTTGGGATCTCTCCCTTTTCCTCCTCCTCTCCTCCACCCTGCTTCCCATGCCTGACAGTGGCTGGCCTGTCCCGTCCCTTCCCCCGCCCTAGCTGCTCCAGATCCTGGGGTAGATGGCCAAAGCACCTAGGGAGGGGCTGCCAGGCCCGTGGTATGGAGGAAAGGGCCCAGGTAGATTTTGGGACATGTGGATACTAGCTACAACTTGCTGAGTGGCCTTGAGTGAGTCCCTGCCTCCTCTCTGGACCTCAGTTTCCCCATCTGTAAAATATAAGGCCTCTGTAGGCCCTTCCAGCTGACTCTGCACTGTGTCCCTGGCCTGGTATAGCCGTACAGCAGGGACAGGGACAGGGCCTTGCTTCTGCTTCCTCCAGACAGATGTTGGGAACACAGCAAAGGCTTCCTGAACTGTGGCCAAGGAGACACAGCTGCTTTGGATGTTGCGGAGGCAGGGCTGTCCACCAGCTCAGAGCCATACCTCTGTTCAGCTTCCTGAAAGAGCTGCCAGCAGCTGCCCACCACCCTCCAGCCCCAGAGCCAAGGGCTCCTGGAAGGAAAGCACTGTGCCCTCCCTTTCCCCCTAGCCCTGGCCTTGAATCAGGCTTGGGCCTGGAGAGCCAGCAGGAACTCTGGAGATGTGTGTTCCAGATACGGTGTAGCTTTGGTTTTAATAATTAACAACAGCAAATATTGATTTATGCAGCCACTTCCAGGCCTGAACACTTCCGGGCACCCATTGAAATCCAGCCAGAGAAACATCCATTCCCACACTGCCCCCGGGGGAGGCGAGACCGGCTCACAGCACTAGAGATGGCTGTGTGCCAGGTGGTGTGGAAGGTGTGTGCACATATGCGTGCAGCCATGTGTGCGTGCATGTGAGACTCCACAACCGGATGTGGCTGTATATACGTGGGCATACTGTCTTTCTGTGTGTGTATGGGAATGCCTGGGTATGGGAATTTGTGTTTGGACATGTGTGTCTCATGCATGTATACATGTGCAAGTCTCTGAATATATTTACAGACCCCTGGCTGTGGCTGTGTATTTTGTGTCTGTAACTATGTCCCCGTATGTAGGTGTGGGTAGGCTGTGTACGTATGTGTGTGCAGGTTTCTGAATCCCTGGGTGGAGAAACCCCTGTAGCGGGGAGGGAAGGAAGGTCCTGGGTAGCTCGATGCCTGTACAAATGTGGGGCCTGAAGGGAGGAGAATGTCCCTTCCGGGTGCCCTGTCCAGCCCTGGGAATGTAATGATGCTGATAAGAGCTCAACTTCCTAATTTCTACTTTCCAAAGTACTTTCACCCAATTGCAAGCTGGCAAGGTGGGTAGAGAAGAAACTGTCACCTGTTTTACAGATGAGGAAACTGAGGCCCAGAGAGGGGCAGGGATTTGCCCTTCAGACAGATGCCATCAATGTTATGAATGTGCACAGAGCTAGGGGCATCGGGCGGGGGAGGATGGAGAAGATGTCACAGGCCTGGCTTCCCTCAGCCCAGCATCGGCTTGCTGGAGACCCCAGATGAATCATTCAGTCTCTCTAGCCCCTAGCTTCCTCTCCTGTCAAAGGAGGATGATCCACAGACTCTTGATTCTGAGGTGGGGGTGGGCTGTCGGGAAGGGGAGGTTCGGAGCCCACTCTCTGAGCTGTGTTGGCACAAACGGAGGCTTCTAGCCAGACTGGGTGGAAGCCAGGAAGCCTGAGGACAGGCAGCTTTTCAATAATCTGAGAAGGCCAACCCCAGGCTGTCTAGCAGGCAGGGCCCACGGCGATGGCCTGCGCTCTCTCTCATCTCCTGATGGGAAGACTGAGGCCCAGGGAGGGAAAGCTGTGGCCCAAGGGCACACAGCCGTTGGTGAGAACCCAGGGCTCCTCCTGAGATACTCAGGGGGAGAGGGACTGGGAGCTTCATTCATGAACCCAGCTGTCAAGTGAGGGCTGCCATTGAGCCTCTCCCTTCCTGCCAAGCCCCGGATCCACATGCCCCAGTCTTGGGCTGTTGCCCAGACAGAGAAAACAGGAGTCGGTCTCAGGAACCTCCTTCTGCTGCTCCCAGCAGCCCTACGTGGGACCCCCATGGAGGTGGTGGTCCCACACATGGACACCATTCCTTGGCCATCTGCCCTCCCAGCCTAGGCAAGGTGCCTGGCCTTTATTCCAGGCCAGAGCTCTCGGAGAGGAGCCTGGTGGATCTTGCCTCTGCTATTTTCTGGCTGTGTGACCTTGGGAAGACCACTTTACTTCTCTGAGCTCCTGCATCCTTAACTAGAGAATGCCTACTACCCAAAGTTTACTAAAAGGACCAGGTGGCATGAAGTCTGTGGATGTGCTTTAGAAACTGCAAAAAGTACTGCAAAAGTGAGAACTTATCACCCCTGTATCAGAGAGGCCCTAACACCAGGCCCTCTGGTGAGACAGCTTGCATCCGGTCGTGGCCCCACCACATCCAACCTGAGTGACTTTGGGCAAGTGACTGAACCTCTCTGAGCCTCAATTTTCTCATCTGCAAAATGGGACTGATTATAGTAGCTATCACATAATTCAAGGATGAGATGAAATACTGCAAATAAAGCATTAAGTACTCATTTGGCACACAGTAAGTCTCAATAAATATTAGCGGTTATTTCTGCTATTTGATATTCTGCATACGTTGTTCAGTTATCTGTTGCTTTACTGGACTGTGGCTCCTTGAGAGCAGGATCTGTATCAGATTGGTTTCTGGTCCCTTGGCACCCAGCACATGGCTTGGCATGAAGCAGGCACTGGTCAAACGTTTGATTTTAATGATAATGATAGGGGCTCGTTGACAGGGCTCTCACTCTGTGTCGGATGCTGTGCCCGGGCCGCCCTGTCTGTACTTTGCAGTAATCTTCACAATGACCCTGTGAAGTGGGTCCTCTCATTGCGCCTAGTTTACAGATGAGGAGACTGATGGTGACGTTGATTGTAGAGATGATGAAGATAGCTGGGGGGCTGGTTTATTCCCAGCTGTTTTGCTTAGATTTGCCCTAAGCCCTTCCCCACAACAGTCTACAGACCCAGGTTCAACCTTTGCGACTGCACCAGGCTCACCCAGGGCTCAGGAGTGGCAACCCCTTAGGAGCTAAACCCCATCAGCATCTGCCCATTTTACCTTTGCCGAAAAGTCATTCGTGGGCCTTTCCCAGCCCTGGGCATGTGTCGGAGGTAGGGGGCAGACCAGGGGCCGTAGGTATGGAGGGGGACACTTACCTTAGGGTAGAGTGAAGGAGTATAGGAGGGAACTAAGTTCACTCGTGACAGGTCTAGTGCCTGAGGGAAGCGCTGGTTCTGCCCATCACTCCTCCTGGAAGAGAAAGAGTCTGAGGTCAGGGAGAGCCCCAAGCCAGGAAATTTGGGAACTCTGGGAGAGTCACTCTCAGAGCTGGGGGATGTGAGGGGGTTAGATTTCATGGAAGAGAGGGTCATGGGTTCCCCAAAAGGAGGGAGAGGAGGGGCTTTGTGAGCAGGGCTGCCACACAGGCTCTCCTTCCCTGGATATCAAGAGACGTGGACAGGGTCTCTCCCCAAGCTCTCCATTAGGCCTCCAGCCAAGCAGTGACCTACTCTGAAGATGAGTAGACTGAGGCAGGTGTACTGAGGGTTGCTGTGGAGGGTGAGCTTTCTGGACTAAGCAGGGTGCTCCCGCCTCTAAAATGGACTCCTCCCTGAGCCTCTGGGAGTAGCCGCCTTGGCACTGAGAGGCTACTGGGGCTACCACTATTATGAATGACAGTGACCATAACTGACACTCATTGGGCCTACTATATGCCAGGCCCTGTGCCGAGCCCTCGTTCCAGGCCTGAGGGCATGGCCTCCTCATCACACTGGTATTCCCACTTTACGGACAGGACCCAGGTGGGCACAGAGGTCACATGGCTGGCCGGCAGCAAAGCTAGCATCTGCGTGAGACCTGCCTGACTCGAAGCCCGGACTCTCTGCCCACACCACACCCTTCCCTGAGGAAAGAAAGCAGGTCTGGTGAGGGTGAAGTCAGCTCCTGTCACCCTAAAAAGCCTGCTGAGGCCACCTCTGGGGCAGGGAGAGGATATGCCCAGTGGTTCCTGGGATCCAGGGGACCTGGGGCTGGGCAAGCAGGCCTGGCTTGTGCTGCTGCCTCGGGCCACCCTGACGTGGCTGCACCTCCGCTCAGGTCCCATCAAGAGAGGCTGGTCCCTCAAGGGTGACTCAGATGATCGCTGGTGGCCTACAGCAGGCTTGAGTCAGGCAGAGCTAGGCTGCCACACCCCAAGAGGGGAAGGACCCGAAAAAGTCTGGCCCAGGAAGAAGACCGAGAAAGCTCTGAGCTTCCCTTCTTCTTCTTTTTTTTGTGACGGAGTTTTGCTCTTATTCTCCAGGCTGGTGTGCAAATGGCTTGATCTCAGCTTACCACAATGTCCGCCTCCTGAGTTCGAGCGATTCTCCTGCCTCAGCCTCCTGAGTAGCTGGGATTACAGGCATGCACCACCATGCCCAGCTAATTTTGTATTTTTAGTAGAGACGGGGTTTCTCCATGTTGGTCAGGCTGGTCTTGAACTCCCGACCTCAGGTGATC